TATTGTCTGTCACAGAATTTATTATATAATTTAGTTGCCTTTTGCATACACAAAATTCATCCTAGGTGTTACTTAAGGGGTGTTTTTGAGCATATTTATAAATTGAGTTTTTTAAAGCTAAAGTGCACGGATCCCAAAAAAGATGTGGATGAAGTGAGGAATAGATTAGGCTACAATGAAAATTAAAATATTGTTTCTGAAAAATGGCATTACCTAGTCTTTTTGCAGATGCCCTTGCTTGTGATACCTGGGATTGTCTGTAATTAAAAATCTGCACCAAGTCCTCTCAGGACTTTTGAGGTTTTGAGGGGATAGACAGATGTGAATGGGGGGAACCTGACATTAAGAGAATAATTCTGTAAACCAGGCCCACTCTGCTGACCCCCACATGCTTTCTTTTCTGAGACGCAATTTACCCGCAGCCCTGCCTGGCCTCAGTGAACAGGATATGTTACATTCCTCAGCAAACAACCTATTCACTGCAGGAGAAATGCAGGCTCAGAATAATGTTGATAAGAGGAACCCAAGTTGCCCTGAAGGAGAAGACTTATGACCAGATTCTGAAACTCTTGAGAGATAAGGATAGTTCCTTCTAACCTAAAAATCTGTAAGAATGTATGGTTAAGAATTCAATTAGAACTGGTTATCGGGTGTCAAGGTGACCTAGAGTTGCCATGTCAGTGGGGACTTGAATGTCTGAAGTCACCCGGCTGTCAGTCAAAAGTCAAGAAGTGGACCTGTGCAGGACTCTCTGGAAACTTCTCTGGGACCCCAATAAAACTGGAGGGCAGGAGAGGCACACTGTCCCTCTCCTCTGAGAAAGATCCACTTTCTCCCTTGAGGGTATCCCCTTTCCCTTTTCCTTAGCTCTCCAATAAACTCATCCAATTACTCTGAGTGACATATCTGAAATCTTTCTGATTTGGTCATGAGAGTTGGTGGTGTCTTTGTGGTGCCTCAGTTTCTCAGAAGGCCCCAGCTCCATAACAAGGGGACCTGAATCAATATATTGCCCAATGGAAGCTGTCTTCAAGGCTGGAGTTGGAATTGATTTAGAAGGGTCAAAGAGGTGACTGTTAAAATCTGCTTGGGATTTACATACTTCATTCCAGAAAATATGTCAGCTCTTCCTTGTCTGGGGCTCTGCCTTCTCTCCTGTGTCTTTTCTCTCTTTGGAGAGATGAGCAGCCTGGTACCACCCTTTTTCGTTAGTTCCCACAAAAATATAACTTAACACAGAGAAGTGATGGGACAAAGCCTCTTTGAGCTAAGGAGACTGGAGTTATTAGTTTGTGAGACAGAATAGAAGTTTTGTACTAAGAAACAGGTGAATTTATCATGTGGACTCTTAATGGTAGATCAAAGAAATGAATTTTCTCAAGTCTTGGATTTCAAGAATTTGGAGCTAAAACAACCTGCATCTTAGCGTCTCTCCATCTTCTCCTCCCAGACCTTGGCTCATATTTCATTCTATCCCTGAAGCCTCCATCCTGGGTTAGGGGCAAGCTCCAACCACTGTGACCGGCTTCACTGACCTCTGCTTTTGTAGAGCCAGCAGAGTCCAAAAGAAGTGAGAAATAATGGGCTGATTTTTTCCCTTAACTGACCCTTCGAGATGTGCAAGACAGAAGAGGGGACTGATGGGTTGACGCTTATTATTGCTATTGAAGCGAAGCCATCTCCAGATGAAAGCGGTGAGGTGCTGTGGACAAAGATCTACGTAGAAAGAGAGATTGTAAAAAAAAAAAAAAAAAAAAAAAAAAAAAAAAAAAAACAGGACGAGAAGGGCCTGAGCTAGCAATCATCAAGGGTGTCCATCAGGGATCCTACTCATTTCTAAGACCTTAGCTGTAAGGCCATCACCCCCTTTGATGGCATAGGACTGACATGAGGAGATCACAGGGACAATGCCAGAATCGCTTTGACCTGTCTCCCCACAAGAGGGATGCTTTTCTTCTCTACCTCCTAATCTCGCAACCCACTCTTCTCCTAATAGAGCAAGTGCTTCCAGGTGATTGGCTAGATTCTGCAAAGCCGATTGGACCACTTTCCCTAGTGGGCGGGATTGCTGTGCTACCCCAGGTTCCACCACTTGGAAGGCTCCTCTCTTCTGGTCTTTGTTCCACTGGGGCTGAGGGTCCTGCAGAGACAGGGTATACTGATCACAAAAGGCCGGGCCTTTCTGTTCTTTATCTTTGCTGCTACTTATTTGCATACTGCATCTGGCAGCAAGAACCTCCCCTTCAGTGGGCAGAGGGTGTCACGACTGGGATTTAACGATGACCAATGAGTTCTCTGGGCCTTGTGGCTAAGTTTTAGGTTCCATCTCAATTTCATGAGCGAAACTGGCACTAAGGGTTATGGTCCAATAAGTAGTGCCTTAATTTTTATATGACATTCTTCCTTGTGTGATTCTCTCTTTTGGAAATTTCATGAAGAAGAGTTATTATTGACAGTATAGGATTTAGGAATATGGAGAGTTAGGGTGATCAGCTGTCCCTGTTTTCCTGGGACTGATGGGATTCCTAGAACATAGAACTTTCAGCACTAAAATCAGGAAAGTCTTTGACAAGCCAGAATGAGTTCATCATACTAGCTGAAATGCCATCTTAAGGCCATTAAACCTCACATACAATTGTAATTTTTACTCTCTGAGCAGCCTTGGATATGGTAGCAACCTCATCTGAGCCTTAAAACTCTCATCTGCAGAATGGTTTTCTGAATATTAAATTAGTCTAAATTTACTTCCCTAACATATTTCCTAGTCTTCAGTAATGCTTCAGTGTTATGCGTTTCTAATTCATTATCTTACTGTTATTGGTACATCAGAACAAAAACCAATATTCTGAGAAGAAAGTACAAAATAGGAGAAGCCCAATGATTTTTCTGAGTGAAAGAATGAAAGAACTCTCCTGAGCACCCTCTTCTCAGCTTTCTACCCCAGTGTTAAGAAGGATCAGAATCAGGAAATAGAATAGTGAGTGGATTCCATTCCTGAAAAACCCAGAGAATGTATGCAGGAATGTATGCAGGAACCACACAGAGACCAGGAGTGAGTGAAGGGGGATGAATGTGCTGGTGCAGGCTGGCCACTCATCCCTAACCAGCTGTGGCTACGTGAGGAGGGCCAGGAGGCCCCATCTTACATGTTCTTTCACAAGAAGTTATATGTGTGATTTTTATGTGAAATCCACTAATTTCAATATGTTGACATCAAATTCAGACTTTTAAAAACAATGTATAAACCAATCAAAATATTTCAGGGAATTTTTAATCTTCTTGCTGAGTCTCTGCATTGGGTAGGAGAGTGAAATTGGATGTCATACAACAACCAAGGAAATTTTATTTCACTCAGATTATTTCGCATAGTTGCAATGAAAGAAAACCAAAGTAATTTAATGATTAGACAAGCAAATAAACAAAAAGAACAGGAAGCTCCCAGGTTTTGCATGTGTGCGTTATCTTGTAAATCTAACAACTCAAGACTCAACCTGTGGGGTTGCAGAATTATAAAGGTGGAACCTGCTAGCAAGCTCCATGAAATGCTTGCAAGAATTAGCTGACAGGTTTCAAAATCGTTGGATATTAGTCATCACAGAAGTGCCTGCCAAAAAGGGTAGTGCGTTGGGAACACATCTGTGGTGCTCATAAATACCCCCTGCCGAGCTCAACTCAAAGAGGAAATCAGCCTCTAAGTTGCAGAAGGCCAAGAAGCTGATACAGCAGAGTTTTATGTTAAGTGGTTGATAAACTCTCTGAGGGCGGAACTGTTCATTGGGAGGTAGTCAGCTCCCAGCGCTATTATGTGTTTGTCCTCTACCTCTTGGTGACAGTGATCTTTTCCTGGTGTATTTGGGCTCTGCCTACTCAATGAATCACATTGTATAAATCAAATGCTAATTCTATCCAAATGCAAATCCTGATGATTAATACTCCTATGTTACCATGATGTGGTGAAATGAAGAAAACCCACACTTAACCCCCAGGATATATCTCATTGCATTATGGGATCCATTTTAAAGGCAAGCAGGTCATAAAGTTAGCTAAAAGAGCAGCAGAGACCATGTTAGGTACTATCGTTTTGATTCGCTACATTTCAAAAAGCATAGAAGTATAAAATCAACCAGAACCAACCTGCCAAATGGAGCATAGGCTCTTGTGATTCTGGAACCTTCAGTGCTGGGGTAGCACCATTCATCTGGGACCCAGGACAGAGGAGGTTGTCATCAGCCACAGATTTCTGGGAGTCCTGGAGGTGAGGGCCAGAAACCTAATGTTGAAGGAAAAACCTATCCATGCATCAATTATGCAGTTTTGCTTTTATTTTTTTTCTTTCCCTTTCTTTTCTCTTCTCTTTCTTTCTTTCTTTCTTTCTTTCTTTCTGTCTCTCTCTCTCTCTTTCTTTTTTGATTCAACATAATTAAATGGCACAGTTAGAGATAAGGATAGAATTTTCTTTTTTGACTTAGCTTTTATTTTTCTTGTTAACACAATTGATTCAGAATTTAAATGCTGCTCTCTGACTACCAAGTATAAGAAGCTAAACAAAGAGTTGCATACTAAATTCATGCTTCCCAACTTAAAAAAAAAAGAAAAAAAAATCCTAAAAGCATTGCAGGTCACCCCCGAGCAACCCATCCACTTCACATTGGCAGATTCTGATGGCAGAGGAAAGACCTCAAGTGTGGGTGAGGTTAAGATCCCCACATTGCCTTTTTGAACCTAGAAAATGTTGCTGATGTAAGGTGAACTTTTTTTTTTTATCATTAATCTACAATTCGCCAGATGCTCAGCTTAAGCAAACTTGTTTGAAACCCTAAGACGTGACTCAAGCAACTCAGAATTGTTGCTTGCAGCTTGCCCACTCGGAAAGACATTTTTTCATGGAATGAATCATTTGAAGACAGCAGGAGTCATGATGAAACCACCCTCTGGAGTTTGAAAAGAGACGAGGCTGCTTTAAGAGAGAAACAGGAAGTTGTAACTAGAAGCCATCTGAATATTAAGCCAGGGCAGAATGCTTGTAAAGTAGCAAGTAAAGTGGCAGTGTTAATTCTGAAATTCTCAGGCAGTCAGGCTGTCTTAGGCAGATCTTGATAAACTAGCCTGCTCCAGGTTTTTATCTCAGGAATCCCAACAGGACAGGAGAATGGAGAGGCAGCAAAGGTTTCTGTCAGAGAAGGATGAGTCTCAGTTTCAACATCAGGGAGCGGTCGAGCTGCTTGTCTTTAATTTTTTACTCATCCTTACCATTTTGACAATCTGGTTATTTAAAAATCATCGATTCCGCTTCTTGCATGAAACTGGAGGAGCGATGGTGTACGGTGAGTGTATAAATGGTGGGATTGATGTGAGACTTGTTGCTTGGGCGTAATTAGAGACTTGTGCTCAGATGGCAAAGTACCGAAACTGGAGAAAATGTGCTGATTGAAATGTCATTAACTTGATGAAGGGTGCTTGCAGCCTGATGAATGCTAATCTCTTTCCAGATGAGCTGCCGAAATTTGCCTTGTCACAGGAGCAAATGTCATAGTCATGTTCTTGGGGAGCACATAATGCCAGTCTGTTGACAGCTGTGGGTCCCTTGTCATGTGGGGAGGCAAACTAGGCTCGCTGTTTGTTTCTGTAATGATGTTGGGAAGTGATGGTCCTGCGATCACAAAGAGCAGCCTTCATGCCCTCACCCTGAATGCCTGTGTGAAGTTCTAGAAATAACTTCATTGAACATTGGAAGGAGTAAAGCCCTCTCCTGTCCACTTCTTCCAAGAAGAAATTTTGCAGAAACAGACCCCACCCCTTCTGAGGCAATCATTGCATCTAAATCTTTTTTGATTATCTGAAGGATGCTTTATTTTCTTAGACTGGAAGGTATTATAAATACACTAGGGTTTCCTTATGCAGTACTTTACATTCATCAGCCTGATTTCAGACATTCTAATTTAAAATTGTCATCAGTAGTAGTCGTATTTGCCACGTGTCTTTTTCATTTTACTTTTTTGGAAGCCAAAGTGTCAAAAAGCATTTGTCTAAAGTTTCAAACTCCCCAAATATTGCTCTTTTTGTACAATCCCACCATGTCATCCCTTCAGGAAGTTTGATAAAATATGGCAGAGATTAGCCAGGCTGTACTATCATCTTTTAAAGTAAGATGCAGGACACAAGTGGTTTTTAAACTGATGTCACTGATCGAATTGTTGGCTTTGCCATACCTGCCTCAGCCTAATACTTAGCAGGAACTTTGAATACAATGGAAACAAGTAAGCCATTGCTGTAATTCACAGCAAAGAACATACTTTCTGAGTTTCCCTCATTCTGGAATTCTTGAAGCCTTTTTATCCCTGAGGTTCATGGAACAAAAGGAATGCACATTTGATATGCTACCCACGTGATGTCCTGAGGTCAACAATGTGTAATGTGATCTGAGAACAGAAGAAATCCTGTGCCCTAACTAGAGCCTGCTGGGAGATACTTGAGGTATAAGGCCAAAGTTCTAGGCCAAGCAGTGTAATTTCTTTTCAGGAAGTCAATGTGCTAATCCATTTAGAGCACCTTCAGTTCCTTTGTATTAAAGGTCTTAAAGCACACAGTAAAAATTGGAAAGGGGGGTGTCATAATCAGCAGAGAAATAACGCAAGAGAAGGGAGGTGATGCTGTTGGAGACGAAGGCCCAGACTCCTGCATTAGCCCTTTTCCATCACCAGTGGACTGGAATCTTTCTGTCTGAACTAATAAATAATCGACAAGGGAATAGGACAAACTCTGAGAAGCCAGAAACCATGTAGCATCATATTAGAGAGCTATGGATACTTTAGCAAAACACCACAGATTTAAGGTTATCAACCTTTATTAAATGGAAAGAGTTCTTCAAAACCGGAATTTGCCAAAACCCTGACTCATTTACCAATTTCAGCTTATTATGGTAAGCAGATAGTCTGGTAAAACTGATTAAATTTTGATGGCATTAATTTCTGATTAAATTTTGGTGAATTACTAGAATTCAGACATATTTTGTATTCATAATTTCTAAAGTGAACTTGGAAAATTCCATCCTCAAGAACTCTATAAGATATTTTAGTATTTTTAAAATTATAAAATAGGAGTGCATTGTGCATTATTGTTGAGAGAGCATTTCTTTAAGGTATATTCTTAAGGCAGTTTAGGCTTAAAGTTTATAAATGTGGAATTAGTTTGAGCTGTCTAATTTCTGTGCTCCTTTCATGAGCTTTTTTATTTGAAAGCAAGTTCTGAACCAGTGCAATATAAAAAAATCATAAAATTAGATATGTATTTACATATATGTACATATATTCCATTAATAGAATTTTGAGTATTTTTTGAGTTATCTTGAGCTATATAAATCAATGAAACGACATATTTTAGTGTTGTTTAATTTTTGTTGTCAGAATCATAACTGTGGGAATTTAAGGGGATCTTCTCCAACTTCTTCATTTTTCAGAGGCAGAAAATTAATCTCAGCAAAGTGAAGTGACTTCCCCAAACCAAATAGCCACTCATTGTAGAGTCCATGTCTATCATGCATTCTAATATATTAGCAAAAAGTCTTCATTTTCATCTTGCAGGACAGTCTTTGAAAACCATGCATATGGAGTGATTTCTTGTGTTTCTTCTTCAGGGATGATCTAAATATTATATCTGAAATGTTGATTAGGGACATTCTGTCAGGGATGTAATAAAATAGCTTGAAACTATAACAGAGGAAAAAGAGGAGCTCTACTACACACTTTTTTTACTCACAAGGGGATAGGAAATTCCAAGTGAATTAATTGCCCAGTATCTGTAAATGAATTTGGAACTCATAGATGAGAAAGAAGCCTTAGAGAACACAAGCCCAATGTCCTCCCTTTGCAGACGTAGAAATAAAGACTTGGAGGGGTGAAGGTCATGTCATTCTTTAGCTGCTGAGCTGGGATTCAAACCATATCTCTTTACTAAAAGATGCTGAGAACTTTAAAAACAAGAACATTCTTCCAGTGACCTTCCAGGAGAGAGGATGTGTCTCTGCAATCCAGATGCTTCCTCCTGCTGTTTACCCCCTCAAGATTGGTCACATAGGTTCTCCTTTCCAGGAGTCCCCCTCCAAAACAAAAATAAAATTTTAGGATAAAAGTATACATATCTTTTTTTCCATCTGAGGATGGAACTCTTGTATTTTTGCAGGCGCTCCGCTGGGGGCATGTTGATAACCAACGAGAAAGAAAGAAAGCCAACTACATTTGCAACTTGGGCTTTTAAATATCCCTTTTCAAGGAGATGACATTTAAGAGAATCCTGTGACTCACCATCTCTGCCATGCAGACTTGTAATGAAGCGTGTGAGATTCCGTGGTCTTGCTCCCAGGGCTCATCCAAGAGCTTGCCTAACAGCTACCCCTCTTCTCTGGGTGTTGTCTCTGCTCTCATTCACTTTTGGTATATTGTGTTGTTCGCCCCATGTCAAAAACCAGAAGTCTTTTCCCAAAGCACCAAATTTCCCGTAATCTCTCTACTCAGTCCCCCAACTGCTCTTCCCCTGGCATTCAGCTGACATGTGTCAAATGCCCTTTAGAGGACTTAACAGATGTAGATATGTTTAATCAGTGTGGTTGGGAATCCAGTTTAAAAATTCCAGGGATCAAAGGCTTCCAAAATGAGCAGTTAGAGAAAATGATGGGAAAAGTGACCACGCAGAAGGTTTAACTTCTCTTTTATAGTTATGATTAGAAACAATTTTTAATTTGTGCATTAAAATATCATATGAAGGGTTGTAGAACCAAGAAAAACCATGCGTGGTGATTAACTTGTCTCTGGGTTGATTGGAAATAAATCTCATATTCCAAATACATGTAATTCCTTATATAAAAAGTATCTTTTCTCTCATTATTAAGGATCACAGGATGCTTTTAAAAATTAGTGGAAGCATTATTTTCGCTTTACCAGGGATCCTAATGGGTACTTGTTTCTCATGACATTCCATAGCTTGTGCAATTTCAAAATTGAAGGGATAGAATCCATAACTGTTTTAAAATATAACCCGTGGTGATATTCATTTAAACTGGACTAAAAGCCTGGATGAGTATTAATGGTCAAAATATTGATTGACAGCAGCTGGTGCACTTAGCGCTGTTCACTTAGGGCCTTATATCCCTGCTTCACGTTCATCAAAGAAAAATTGCTCCTTGCTCCCCGATAACATTAAGAATCGCATTATGTCTCACTGGGGACTGCCACACTTTTCAAATTCCATGTATTAGAGGGTTGGGATCTGAGCCTAGGGACTGAGCAACTTAAACGTCTTAGAATTCTACCTTTGGCTTCTTGGTCTTCCTGTCTAAGGGACCGTCTCTGAATTCTTGCAGAAATTTTGCTCACTGTTTACTGGGCCCGAAGGAAATTTCAAGCCACAAAGTTTAGATTTTGAATTCATTAAACTATGTCAGACTAAAATATTGTCTGATCCTTTTAAGAGTATGTTCAGCTAAAGCTTAATAGGTCCAATTTGATTTACTCAACAGGACATTTTTCAAAATTTAAAGAAAATACAGTTACAGTTATAAAAGCTATCTTCCTTAAAAATCTTCTGCAGGCATTAGTTTCATCCCTGCTCTCCTCAGAGGCTCCTTGGGATAAAATTAGATTGTTGTGCATGATGCATCTCCACCAAGCTGATCCAAGTTACCCGCCTCCAGTTCAGCCCTACACCCATGGCTTCCAGGCCCATAGGAGATGTTGACTATCACTTTACTCCCTTTACCTGGCTTGGAAGGTCCTTCTGAGGCTCTTCACCATTCAGACAAGAAATGCTCTGTGGAGAAAAAACTGGAGTGCTCTTTGAGATGTGAGGGCTTTTAACCTTGATGATATTTTTCTCAGTAATTGTTAAATGTGTTACTTTGGGCAAGTGACATAACTTCTGACTTTAATTTTCTCATCCTTAAAATGGGGAGGAAATATCAACACCACTAAGATCCCTTCCAGCTCCTAAAATCCTTCAAAGATCAGGCCAAGACTGATGTCATCCATCTCCCTCTTTCAGCTGCCCAAGCCCAAACCAGCAGCTTGCTTCCCAGAGCCTAGTAGCCAATGAGATCCAGTTCTTTCTCCCGGGCAGGATTTTATGTAGCATTATTCCATCACTCTTAGTTCTTCCAGGCCTGCTTTGACTTTTAGGTGAGTGCTCTCAGTCAATCTGTGGAATTCCTGTCAGGAAGGTGAGGAGAATGTTCTACCCTCAGTAGGAACAGCGAGGGATGCCTGCATATGCCAGGTCCCCGGATCCCTTTCTCATTAAAGTCAGAGTCCTGCTTTCCCTTTTGGTGAGAAGAGCT